TATTTGAAAATGAGAAGAAAACTACAAAGTTTCACTGAAAGAAACACAGGCAGGGATCTGAATAAAGGGAAGATCCTAATATGTTCCTGGATAAAAAGACTCACCATTGTCAAAAGTTATGTTTTCCCAAATTAATCTAAAATCTCTCAGCAATTTCCACCCCGACCCCAAACAGACTTTTCACAGAGCTTGACAAGTCATTTCTAACGTTCATCTAGAACAGATTTGCAACAGAGGCAAGAACTGTCGAAAGAGAAGAAATCACATTCTATAAAAGTCCACAACCTGTTACAAAGCTACAGTAATGCCAACAAGAGCAGCAAGAGGTAAACAGATCAATGGGAGAACAAATTAGAAGTACTTCAATTTACTGGCAGATTTTTAGTATAAAATAAGCTTTCCAAGCTGGGGAGGAAAATATGGATCATTCAAAAACTGATGCCAGGATATCAGGCTTGTTATAACAAAGAGATTCAAAGATAAATCAGAAATGAGAAAGGCTTTACGTCACGACTGTAGGAGAGAGAGGGTCAAGAACAAAGAGATGTAATGCCAGGAGCTACAAAAAGGACAGAAAGAAAATGATAAAGAGAGCTATGAAAAATGACAAGAAAGGCACTAAGGAAGTGAAAAATCCTGCAATAGTGGGGTGGTAGCAATAGAAAAGAGGCTATGTTACAATAAGCACAAGAGGCAAGCTATTGAAGACGTGGTTTTGTACTCTGAATTGTGGCAGGGCCCTTCCTGACCTGATGTGTTGGGGTGGGAACTTTTGACAATGTAGCAGTGTCAGCCTCCATGTATGCGGAGCTCTGATGTAACTCCATATCATAGATCACACCCAGCCAGGCTGTACAATGTGCCCCCAGCCAGGCTGCAGAGTGTTAGAGTATGCCCATACAAAGCAGACAAAGACACTAAAATCTGTGTGGAGGGTGCATGTCACTGTGCCGCATTCAGCACTCAGCCTCTGGACCCAAATCCACTGAGTGGACGCCTGCATGAACAAAGCTGCTGCCCCCGAAAGCCTCAGCATCCTCTCTGTCTACACAAAAAGCGCAATCATGGTGCAGCCAGAGACGAAGCCCAAGCTCCACCTTCATGAAAATGAAACACACTGTAGTTTGAGCTCTGCTGTCTGGCACCATTATAATCACGGTTCTGTTCTTGTGGAAGGTGAGCTCCGGCTGGGACAAGGAGCCATCACAGCTTGTGACTGACAGCAGTCTCAAGTTTCTTCCGCAACTGGCCATGTGACAACATGGTGTACTTCACTGATTATTTAAGTGGTAGATTTAAGTGTACATTATTTATTTGCCCAAGTGATTTCTGCCTTTCCATTTGCACTGAGTTTCCCGACCACTGTTTATCCCAAGATCGCACAATGTCAGCATTCCGAGAAAGACAGCACTTTATAAAAGGCTCTAAATAAATAGATCTTGCCAAGGTTTTGCTGAAACCAGGTACCTTTTGAATTTATATAGGTTTCAAAGATTATACGATTGCTCTGAAAAATAGTTTAAACCTTATAAAGTCTCACTGCTTTTAAGCAGAGTTCAACTTACACATGATTCATACACATAAAGCTAAGTAATAAAAAGAAAAACCTGATGATTTATTTTGCAATTTTGTTTTCCAGTTCAAAGAAACTGCTAAATGAATTCCCTGGGGGGAACAATCGCCAGTTCTGTTTCTTGAAGGGGTTTATCTGTTCTGTTCGAAAAACTACCAGTTTAAAAAGTAACCATGGGGGCTGGAGAGATGGCTCAGTGTTCTAAAGCACCTACTTAGAACAAGTTCAGCAAAGCACAGGGACCACGGTTCAATCCCCCA